GCCAGTGTTTGCAGGCTTCACGAGGTAGTGCAAATCCGGAGAATCCTATGAGCGACGGACGGATCAGCTTGCCCCCCCCCCCTCCCCCCTCTCTCCGCCCCCCCCTCTCTCCCCGCCCCCCCTCTCCCCGGGGCACCTCTCCCGCCCCCCCCCTCTCCCCTCTCCCCTCTCCCCCCCCCCTCTCCCCGGGGGCCCAGCCCCGCCCCCCTCTCCCCGCCCCCCTCTCCCCTCTCCCCGGGGGGGGCACAGCCTCTCTTCCCTTTACCCCATTTTTAACTTTAACTGTAAAATTAAAGTAAATTATTAAGAGAAAGTTTCGGGTTTTACGGCTGTTCCTTAAAACAAAAATTATTGTAAAAAGTGTTGCAGGTGTGTGTGGTTTTTGGCTGTTCAGGTCGGCGGCCGCTCACCTGCACAGTCACTTCACATTGTGTCCCGAGAAGCGCTTTGAGACGTCTCCAGCACATGATAAGCCATTACATCAAATAAAAGGATTATTATTATTATTTCCTTTTGTAGGGGTTCAACCCTGTCTCCCCCCCTCCTGCCCCCATAGCCCGGACTGAAAAAACTTACAGAACCATTTAATTCGATTTTTGTTTTAGGATTTAAAAAAACACACGTTTGATCAGAAGTTGTTAGAAATTAAGCAGTTTATAGATGGGGTGGGGATGGGGGGAGTGGGGAAAATCTTAGCTTCTCAATTTTCAAAACTTATAAATTCTCAATTTCCTCAGCATTTCCTTGCTTTGTATTTTTCTTTTTTCTCTCTCCCCTTCCCCAGAGGGAGCAGTTTATCTGCTCTCTACAAAGGGTTGTGCCTCTTATCTGAGTGATATTGTTATACATGCAACGACCTTGAAAGGTTTGCATTGCAAAACTGCTGCCAACATGAGGCCAGTTTGTGTTCTCTTTAATCACCATTTCAAAGATCTAACAGGGCACCTGATCACACTGAGCCGTGTCTGCTTGTTTGCATTGACCAATATGTGAACAGTAACTTCTTAGTGATTCATAATCCACAATTGTTTGTGGGACACTGAGCCTCCACCTCTCTTGTTCACTTCCACCCCTCCTTACATATCTATTGTGTCTTGGGACATCCTCCCGACGTGAAAGGCGCTGTACCAATGTAATTTTGTTGTTGTTGTATTACCTTCTCCCTAGTGTTTCCTCTTAAATGCATTGATTCGTTTTGCTTTAGCCACACTTTTTGGGAGTGAATTCCACATTCTCACCACCCTCTGCGTGAAGAAATTGCCCCTAACTATCTTTTATATCTACTCATAGCTCTTATATTTATGCTCCCTTGTATTGGACTCACCAAAAAGTGCAAATAGCCTATTAATACCACGTTATCAAATTGTTTCATAATTTTAAACACCTCTCAATCATCTCATCTCCACACCACAGTAAAAAAAAGCTTCCACCGTGTCCAATCTCTCTTGAAGCTATGTTCACCCATCCCTGCTAACATCTGTGTAAATCTATGCTGCACTCTCTCCAGTGCCTCAATATCCAATACTGTACAGTTTAGTAGTACCACAAAGTGTTGTGCATTTTTAGGATTGCTGAAACATTTATATTCTCGATTAGGTGATGCAACTTTTAAGGGACTTAGCTGGAAGGATGCTTGCTGGCCCAAAGGGAGTTGGAACAGGCTTTAAACTTCTCCTCGGTGCTGGTGCACTTGCTTATGGCTTAAAAGAATCTCTGTTCACAGGTAAGTGCACCGGGACACTACCCCACGTGAAGGGCATTGTATAAATGCAAGTTGTTGTATGGTTTTGTCACACTAGTTTGGGATGTGAATTAAGAATTTGTCCTTAGTAATAACTATTAGTTCGGCTCAGTTTTAGTTAGGGTTGCACAATAGCCTGAACCAACGACTCATTTGGCTTAAAATGACAGACAGAAAGAAGGATTCTTTTGTGCTGATTACAATTTTGCTGTGTCTAAGAAACGATGGTACATCATGTTCATGTGGTGCTCTTGTATAATGCAGAACTATCTTTGACATAATAATAACAATCCTTGCCTTTGATATAGCTCTTTTCACGTCTTCTAGACGTCTCAAAGCGCTTCACAGAATAGACTGTAAAGTGCAGTGACTGTATATTTGTGGGAGAAATGCGGCAGCCAATTGCGCACAGCAGTGTCCCACAAACAGCTGTGGATTGAGTGACTTTTTTTNAGGGATTATTATCCCCGGAAAAGCAATCCACCAATCGACAAACAACTGGGCTCCTACTTGTTGCTAGATAAACACAGGCATGTGGAATAAGAAAACTTGCCCAACATTTTGCCCTGCTGGGAATAGAGCCAAGGTCTCTCACTTGTGAGGCAACGGCTCTAACCACTGAGCTACAGGACTTAATAATAATAATAATCCTTGCACATACAGTGTGATTTCCATTATATTTTTGAATTCACAAAATTAGACCCCGCGTTCTAATGGTTCTGGATAAAAAGTATACACTGACCCTGCTTTTAGGTCATTAAGTTGCCACTGGTGTCACTTTCAGCTTTCTACATATGTGCCAAAACACTCACAAAAGTGATTACAACTCACGTGCTGGCTTCCTGCACACTAAACTCTTGCACAGGGAGTTGTCTGGTCATTGCCAGGAGAAGCACTTCCGAAAATTGGGGCTCCCCACAATCCCCATGTTAGAAGTGCTCTCATGGTCTATAGCGAGGTGCCTTATAACAGGGTCAGTCTGTAGTTTGTGACCAGCAATGTTTGGGCATGTTAGTCTTGCTTGGTTAGTGTCAGTCTCACATTGGAGTCCGAAGCTTGTGGGTTTAAGCCCCACATCAGTACTTTGAACTCACATTGCAGAGGGTAACATTTCAATGCAATGCTGCGAGTTTACTGCATTGTTGGGAGGATTATTTATTACCGATTGTTTTTGACTTGCATCATTATCTTACAACTGTGAAGTGTTGATACAACTTTAATGTTAGTCAATTTGAACTTTATTTGATGTTTCATTTTCTGTGGGTTTTGTGACTTGTTTTTCTTCAGTGGATGGTGGGCACAGAGCTGTGATGTTTAATAGAATAGGAGGAGTTTCCATGACTACAGTCCTAACTGAAGGCCTCCACGTAAGGTACAAACCTTCCTCCAAATGCATGGACTGTTTATGAATTGTAGATTCTCTATGAATGTTTAACCAATTAAACTTTTGCCCATTCCCCTTATTTTGTCATCCAATATCCTGCTCAAGATAACTGTACAAAATGCGTAATTCTCACTTCGCGTGGAATGTGAAGGGCTCTGAATACCATGCTTGTTTGCCTTTGTAGAATTCCATGGTTTCAATATCCAGTTATTTATGATATCCGAGCAAGGCCAAGGAAAATCTCCTCTCCTACTGGAAGCAAAGGTAAATTACATTACTGTGTCTACATATAGAGGTCATTACCACTTTAGGGGAAGGTGGTTTATAGGGAACAAGTGTCTGTGTTTCCACAGGGAAATCTAAATTAGAAAAAAATCAATTTAAAGAGTGACTATAAACCATAAAACCAAGTCAGCTACAGTAAATATCTCATTGATCCATAGATTGGGGACTATATTGGTGGAGTCTTCAAATTAATGTAATAAGGATTAGTGAACCATCAAGGGGCCTGCAATGGCTGATCTAGTTTTGTAATTGGGAACAATTACTAATGGAAAGTTTCCCATTAAGCATTTATGGTATTATTTGAGGTGATAATGTTATGCTTTGAACACAGGGGAAAATTCTATCTGATGTTCAATTATTTATAAACTTTGGTTTCAATTACTGTATTTTAATTTTTTTCAAGGTTACTGTTAACTAAAATATCATTCTGCTGGCAGCAGTAGTGTTGATACACTTGCGCTCCAGGATGCTACCCCACATGAAGGGCCTGTATAAATGCAGGTTGTTGTTGGTACTGTATACGGGCAGTGTGGGCAAGTCAATGACATGATGCCATGTGCTCCACCACAAACAGATGTGTTTTTTGCAGATTTTCTACATGTCGTTTGGCTGAATGGTTCAATCTGTCTGTACTGATCAGTAAAGTATGTTTTCCACTTTCTGGTATGTGCTGGCTATAGATATCTGCCTTTACTGCAGGAGATAGTGTTCTTTCAAAGTCTTACTAAAGTGATGCATTCTGTTCACCGGGTGTAATACTTTCAGGAGCCAGAAGAGGGCTCCAGGATAACAGCGTCAGCTCTGTTTGTCAACCCAAAACGAGAGAGAGGGTTGATGTTCAGTCAGTGATCTGAAGGGGAGAATTTGTGTTGAAATCAATGTTGAATATTTAAAAACTTGATCTTAAAGAACAAAGCATCTTCTTTGTAAAGAAAGTTTGCTTTTTTAGTTGACTGCGTGTGTAATCCAGTAGTGTATGAAATGTTTTTGTGTTAATTTATTATTATAATTTAATGTTGTGTTTTAGATCTGCAGATGGTAAACATTACTCTCCGCGTTCTTTCTCGGCCAACTGCAGCAAAGTTACCAATGTTGTACCAGCGTCTGGGGCTGGACTATGAAGAGAAAGTGCTGCCCTCTATAGTTAATGAAGTACTAAAGAGCGTTGTGGCCAAGTTCAATGCTTCCCAGCTGATAACCCAACGAGCTCAGGTACAAGAGGAACAAAACAGATTTTGTTTTCAAACAAATCAAATGTAATCAGTGTGCATTGCTAAGGAGTTAGCATCTGTATTTTTTAAAATGTAAAAATCTACTTAAGTTCACATTTCAGCAATAAAGTACAATTAGCATTAAGTGTCTTCTGTTAAGTAACTATTTTAGGTTTACAAACTTACATTTATATTGCAATGGTGTAGGTGTCATTGCTGATTCGCCGTGAGCTGAGAGATAGAGCGAATGACTTCAATATTATCCTGGATGATGTTGCTATCACAGAGCTTAGTTTTGGCAGAGAGTACACAGCGGCTGTGGAATCTAAACAAGTTGGTGAGTATAGCTAGAATATTGCACATAAAACCTTTGTTTCTTCAAATATTAGATTCTCTGTTTCCATGAAATTAATATTTACATTTTGTAACCAATTTATACTGATACTGATAGAGAAGGTTTAGCACACTATTATGTTTTTATTCAAAGACTTTTACACAACAAAGTTGGTTTGGTGTAAGTTATAGCCTTTGGCCACAATTGCAGCTGTTTAGTTGATCAGTTAGCATTGTATTTGTGCCTGGTGTAGTGCTGTGGGTCCCACGATAACTACAGTAGTGTTTATGGTGTAGCTCTGCATAAGCTGGAACATGTAATGAGCCACTGATTTTCTTCCCGACGTTGAATTGTATAATTAGTGATTTTATTTGCTTCATGTATTTCAGGTGAATTTAAAGTGATTATATTATACTACTGAAATGAGAATTATGCCTGAGCAAAGTGAACCATTTGGAGACATTTGAGGCTTTGTAATCCCAGCAATATTTGAGTGTGTTACATTATTATCTTTTGTGTTTGTAAATGAATAGCTACCAGGGACTCACACAAAGAGGAAATACGTTTCCTGTTTAGAAATCTGGCTGCTGGACTAAGCTGTCTCATACCCCTATCTGCCAATGAAATGGCACTTTCACTTTTTGCAATAACAGGAAATGTGTTGCTTCCTGCAACAAAACTTTCAATGTTAACTGATCAGCTTGTGCATCACTTCTGATGGCAGTGATCTTCAAACTAACTGAAAGATTAGCGTGTTAATCAATACATTGTGATTGTGTCCTTATTCGGGGAGAAATAAACCTTAGGCGGCAAACATCCCATTTTGTTACAAAGTAAGATCTGCAATTTTGTGTTGTAGATTGAGAGAATGTTTTTGTCTTCAGTTACTGAAATGCAGCAACTAAATTCATTTAAAATGTGTTAACGTTGTTCAGCTGGATGAAAAGCTATAATGTAACACTGGGACTAGCCGGATTTTTAATTGAACTGTTTACATACCAAATAGCGTTGTGTATGTTGCTTGTAACCGAACACAAAGTGAGGTGCACTCAACAACCGTTTATAAACAGTCTGCAGTTGACACACATCTTCCAAGATAAATGTTTTTTTAATATAAAACACAGACTCGATTATGGCTAGAATATTTTTCCATTTTGAGCGTTTATAAGAATAATAATCCTTGCATTTCATATACCGCCTTATCCCATCTTCTAAGCGTCTCAAAGAGCTTCACAGAATATACTGTAAAGTGAATTGACTGCATATTTTGTGGGTGAATAGCGGCAGCCAATTGCACAAAGCAGCGTCCCACAAACAGTCATGGATTGAATGACCACATTATTATTATGTTTTTTGAAGGGATTATTACCCCCGGAAAAGCGATCTGCCAATTGACTAACAACCAGGTTCCAATTTACTGCTGGATAAACAGAGGAGTGGAATAAGGAAATTTGCTCAACGTTTTGCCCTGCCTGGAATCAAACCGAGGTCCTCTCGCTTGCAAGGCCAGTGCTCTAACCACTGAGCTACGGACTACACAGGACAGTTACTTTTAAATGTAAATTAAAACACAAATCTGTCCCAATAATGTGCTTTAGATTCAGCCTCAGAACACTGTATCAGTATGTCATATTCCATCTTGCACATCAGCAACATTAGACTCTTTAGTGGCATTGAGGTAGTTTTATGATTCTGGGACAGACCAATCTAAAGTCAGCACATCTGCCTTGTGTATCAAATGTTCAATTTATTTACTTTAATTCTAATTAGGCATTAGAAATTGGCTTCTGAGAGATGCATACTGCCCTTTCACCTTTGGAAACTGGGTCTTAAATCATAATTGTAACCACTCATCAAATTATACTGAACAGTGCTCAGTGTTATAAACTAACATCACAAAAAAACCACCAACAACTTGCATAGCAATTTCTCAGGTAGCGTCTCGGAGCACTTAAATTGATAATTCCTCATACAGGTGTTTCATTCTTCAGTACTTACTGTATTATAGTTGAGTATCATGATTCTATTTCTGGATCTGTAGTGATGATTGTTAGCAGTTTTAGCAGACAGTGGCATGAAATGAGTGGTGCAAAGCAACTTCATTCACCTGCTCTGCCCAGCCCCTGGTCGGAGCATGGAGTAAAGCTACAGTGTCTTTATCCAGTTTAGGAGGGAAATCTGCCACAGTAGTACTTTCTTAACAACTGGTGAAACTACTGGTCGTTTCGCCAATAAAATACAGTCAATTCACATTACAGTATATTCTGTATATATTTCTGCAGAAATGCTTTGAGATGTCTCGAAGACGTGAAAAGAGCTATATCAAATATAAGGATTATTATTGGAGAGATTGAATATCGATGCAGATGTGTCAACCAGGTGAATGAAGAAAAAGGGGAAACAACTAATCGGAAGAACAGTTACATTAAATGTTTTTCTTTTTGAATTCTTGAATTTTAAGTTTAAATCCTCATGCTTTTCTGAATGTTATTTTAGACTTTGTAGCTTGTCAAGCATTATAGCAAGCGTAAGCCTATGTAATAAAGCGTAAGCATATATAATTGTGTTCTGACGAAGCATTGTGGACCCGAACCGTTGACTCACTTTCCTTTCTCCATAGATGCTGCCTGACCTGCTGAGTGTTCTCAGCCATTTCTGTTTCAGATTTCCAGCATCTGCAGTATTTTGTGTTTTGTATGTAATAAAGCAATTGTGTGACTTTCTGTGTTTTGGTGTTCAGCCCAGCAGGAGGCACAGAGAGCCCAGTTCCTTGTTATAAAAGCCAAGCAAGACCAAAGACAGAAGATTGTGCAGGCAGAGGGTGAAGCTGAAGCAGCCATCATGGTATCCTTAAAAGGCAGCAATGACTCTATGTCTTTGCTGCAATGATGGCTCATAAAATGTTGCATTGGAAGAATGAATGGAACTTAGAAGTTACAATATATGATGCAGAATTTCCCAAAACAAATCTAACAGTGCTAATAATAACATTGATGTTACAGAAACAATGTAGTGAATTGGAACATACTGTCATAAAGTGATATGACTTGGGCAAGTTTCCTTACTCCCCACAGAGCCTAATAATAATCCCTCCAAAACAAAACAATAATAAATTGGTCATTTTCAATCCACGACTGTTTGTGGGACATTGCTGTGCACAATTAGCTGCCGCGTTTCGCCCACAAATATACGGTCAATCCACTTTACAGAATATTCTGTGAAGCGCTTTGAGAAGTCTAGAAGACGTGAAAAGCGCTATATCAAATGCAAAGGTTATTATTATGACTGAAATTACTGCTTTATGTTTCTCACGTGGGACATTTTGCCTTTCAAGGGGAAGGAAAATTTAACTTCCTTCAATGCTCATAATTTTTTAATGTACTTTTGACTGGCTTGGAACGTAGTAGATGGTAGAAGAGGAGAAAATAACTGCCACGTTTACATGAATGGGAATTAAGTACAGGAAAATGGTTTCTGAAGACATTTTTGCCTCTAAGTAGAAACTTCTACTTGTAAATATAATTTAAAACATTTTTAAGATGTGAGTTTTCCCGGTTGAGAACAGTGGCGTCCTCGAGGTTGTGGGTCAATGTTGCTTCTCTGTTTTGGGGGGACAAGGACTATAATATTCCCATCTTTACCTAGTGTTTTTATGCATGTGATATAATGAAAGACCTTGACTGCCCAATCTAGCTTGGAGAGGCTGTTACCAAACATCCTGGTTACTTGAAGCTACGTCGAATCCGAGCAGCTCAGAATATTGCAAAGACGGTCGGTGATATTTGCTTTTTACAACAACTATGCTGTATTGGCAGCTCAACCTGTTTGTGCATATGATTGCAGTTTATATTAATACAATACTTATTTGAGAAGTCCATATTAGAACATTCTCATTACAGTTATCGTCATATTAAATCTGAAACAGTCATCCAGCATTCAATGGTTTAATAGAATCCTAAATGAATCATTTTCCATCTTAGAGCGGAAGGAGAACATTCATTCATTTGTAAACTTTTTATGCAATTTTGAGCTTCCAAACACAAGTAAATTGACCATTGTCAACCATGCTGAATCAACAACAATAACTTGCATTTACATAAGACCCTTCAATCAGGGTAGCGTCCCAGAGCACTAAAATCAGTGAAGGAATTCATTGTGTGGTTTCCTTTAGTTAAAGGACTAGAGTGCTTTTTTAAGTACTTTTGTTTTAAAACGCTCTTCTCATTTAGCATTTTCCATATATTTGAGGTTGAATCAGGTTTCTATAGGATGAATTATTTATAACTCTGGCCCCTTTGGGTGTGTTTTGTTCTTGGGATAGTGCTCTGCCCACTATGTGCATTATTATGTCCTGTTTATTTTGGCGTCCTTAAAAATTTATTTGAATAGAACTGGTTCTGGAGGTTGGCTCCTGCTCTTGTTGCATTGTTGAGTGGAAACAACTATAGAGCTTCTTCTCCTCTACAATGAAGGACCGCAACAATTGCTTTCTGTGGAGTGCTCATTAAAAAACATAGAGTGGAATTAGAGGAGGTGTTAATTTGTGGAATAGTCCTGAGCAGGTTCAGTGGCCAAATGGCCTTTCCCTGTTGCTGAATTCCTATGAAACAGCTGAAAAGGGTTCTGCACAGATCTTTAGCAAAGTCAATATTTCTCTACATCAACATGGCGGTCAGTGCTGGTGTCGAGCTTCCCTATGGGTCCTCTCCAGTTTATACATTTAACAGCTACTGACTTTAATCGACCATCTAATAGTCTCTTATTTTATTACTTTCTCTGACCTCTTCTTCCTTCCTTTGCCCAATGGCTGTGTCGCAGGCCATGCCCCATGACAGGCAGATAATCTCTGCCAATATGGACCATGAGAAAGCCATTGAAACAGTTTAGAATTGCCCTCTTTACATCCCCTGTTCCCCCTACTCTGAGTCAACCAGTATGTCAAATCAATTTTTGTTTGAAATTTCTTTCAGTGTCTAAATTGTGTGAGTGTTCTGAAGAGGCCAAAATCTTTATCGTTACAGATTTCCACATCTTTGAACAGAGTTTACTTGAATGCTGAAAGTCTTGTGTTAAACCTTCAAGATCTAAATTTTGACAAGTAAGGTGCATTTTAAACATAACTTTTTGTAATCTGTTTACTATTTCTAGCTTTCTAATAGGATTTATTTAAAAAAAATTATTGTACTAAGCATAATTTTGTATACTTTTTCATATCTATTGAAATTATCTTTGGGGAAATGATTATGATCAAAATCTACATTTTGTCAAACCATCTATGCATTAATCAACATGAGAATTACAGTTACCAAATGTGGTGTCTGGTATTTGTGTCGGATATCTCCAAGTCTGGTTTTGTTTTAGTTGTATAACAAATTGCCAGTCAACTATTGATTCTGTTGTGATATCAATCTTGCTTTGCATTATGTAGCGAGACATTAAATAGTACAGAAAAATATTAAATGCGCAGTACAGAAAAACACTAAATATGCAGTACAGAAAAACACTAAATACACAGTACAGAAAAATACTAACCCTGACTGACCCTGAAAGAGAAAACATTGGACGAGCCTTTGCCTGTAGTTCAGTAACTCATTATGTTTAAATTTTAATCTGTGCCACTTTGCAACAATGTTGGTGCAGTCCCGGATCTCTCTTGTTTTCAGGTAAAATACAATACAAATTACATGTTAGGAGGAAGTCCCAAGACCCTGGACAATCAGGGATTTGAACCTGAACTGGATTGCTCACTCCATTGCAGTGGCTGCTGATCTCACTGTGGATATAGCCCTGCTGGCTACTGATTTATGTAGAATTTAAAATTCATGCAAATTTCAAGACATTTCATGTCCTGCACATTTTACATCATCTACCTAGAGGAGACTCAATGAGCAACTGTGAAGTCCTCTTATTTGATGACATTGAATGTGTTAGTCACATCTTCACGGCTCCACAGTTTATGAAAGACATTATCTCTGTTATACAGGGGATTCACTTAGAATGCAATTGGGATATGGCCACCAATACTGGGATCCAAATCCTTTCATTGCTTAAAACAAGTCGACTAGGTTGTCAAAGCGCTGCTGGGGTCTCTTCCTGCAAGCCAATAATGCTTCTTTTGTGAAGAAAGTGTTGGCAACGGTACTTGTCCAGAGCAAGTATGTGAGGTATGCAGTAAGTTGTGGCAGTGTCCACCTGAGCATCAGTTTTTATGCCTCTTTATACCCCAAGGCAATGGCTCCATGTTATAAAAAGGGTTTTCCGGTGATGTGTTGGTTATGTGATATTTTCAAGCCTAAGTCTGGGTTATTAAACAAATGGAAAATTATTTAATGTGATTCTGGTCATGTGAGCTAAATAGAATTCCCTTAGTGCAGATGCAGAGTTAAATTCATGGCTGTTTCAGTCTGAAATAGCAGATGTTTGAGTAGTCATAGAATCATACAGCACAGAAGGAGGACATTCAGCCCATCGTGTCTGTGTCGGCTTTGAAAAGAGCTTCCAAATCAATCCCACTCCCCCGCTCTCTCCCCATAGCTCTGCAAACTTGTCCTCCCCAAGTCAAGTGAGTCATGGAATTAGGAGAATGTATTTAAAATGTTAATAAATCCAAAGTATACAGAATATATGGTTATTGCTTTGTCACAAAGTTTTTTTTAAAAGAAAGCAAACCTTTATGTTATTGTAGATCTAAAACAGCATCCTCGTTCCATTAATTACTGCTCTAAAGTTCTATTTTGGACCAAGTCTAGTGCAAAGCTTTTAATTCCTAATCCGTTAAGTAGATGTTCAGGTGTTGGCCAGCAAGCAGCCAAGGGGGAAGTTTAAGTCCTTCAGGTTATTGCTCCATAACCAGACACATTGTTTTATGTCCAAATTATTGAGTGATATTATTGAGTTAGAATCATGACCTTTCTAAGTAGGAAACTTAACTCGGTTAAAGCAATCAGAGAATTATACAGGAGGCAATTCGGCCCATGGTGCCCGTGCTGGCTCTTTGAAAGAACTGTCCAAATTAATCCCATTCCCCCGCTATAGAATCATAGAATCATTTTCTAAATGCTTATCTTGGCTTTTAATGAAAGGACAAAGGATGTTGGAACATTTAAGCTTGGAGACTACCAAATTTTCATCATTGATATGTCATGTGGAAATTCATTTAAATGCCTTGTCTTATAAACATACTGTATAGAGTTCAGATAACACTTCTGTTATCTTACTCAACTCCTAGGTTTTTAAGGTCATTGTGTTAATCTGAATACAACCTTTAAGTAACACAACTGAAGTGCAGAAAACCTGAAACAAAGTATTGAACACCAAATTACTCAAGTCAGTGTAACCTAACGTAGTGTGAAGGATACTTCAAAATCAGATGACACAGCCCCGGGTCCTAGTACAGAGATTGTTTGCTCTCCACTGCACTATTTATGATGGTTCTTATAGGAAATGAGGACATGTCAGTGCAACTCAACCTTGTAGGAGAATGCCCATTCCCAATTGAATAAGAAGAAAACTTCCTGATTGCCTTAAATATGTGTGATTTATTGACTACATAGAGATGCAATTTGATTTTTTTTGCTGTATGATTGACTTCACAATTTAACAATAACTTTCTATTCTACCATTTTCCCCTCTTCAACCTCAACAGTTTAAGGTAAGATTTCACTTTGATTTTAATTGCTCTAAATACGGTTTGTTGTTAAACACTAATCTATTTTGTCATTGTCATTAGGAGCTTTTATATTGTCTTTGCGCTTTTTAAAAAATTCATTACTTCAGCCTTGTAACACGAGTTGCAAAGATTAGGGCAGAAGGCAAATGCTGGAGGTATGATGGGTTGGGGGACTTTTGACATTACTCATAGGATTTGGAATGATAGTGCAATTTTGAAGAGGTGTGTAATGACATGAAAGATATCTCACTGATTATCTGCTCCAGTTAATTTTTTATTTCCTCCAATGGGATGAAACCTAAGTGACGTAAAAGGGAAGTTTGTTTCGGTTTCTGTAGGAAGAAAAATGTTGGATGCTGGAGGAGGGTTGTGTATCTCTGTGGTGTCAATGTTAGTAACTGCAGTTAGGTTAACAAGACTGATTGGTAATCAATAGGAACATTTGGGGAATGCGGTCATTGCAAAGGAGGCTGTTCTTGGTTTAAAGTTATTAAGTAACTTGGAGGAGGAATCCTAATCAGTTCCAACACTCACAGTACTTATAAGAGATTGTTCTTATTGAATGCTGTGGATTAAATATACAACTAGGAATATTAGAGGATATTTTCATAAAAGTGCTGTTATATGTTTGGAGGAATTAATTTCAGTTAGTCCTTGCAATTGTAACCAACCTAATATTTGTAAATATGATATGCTCTTAAAAATGTTAAATTCCAAAAATAATTTTCACCTGAACCAAATAGTCAGCATTTACTGTATAAAAACAGAAGTGGCTGGGAACACTCAGCAGGTCAGACAGCATCTATGCAGAGAGGAAAGTGAGTTAATTTTTCAGGTTGATGACCTTTCGTTAGAACTCAAAATTTACTGTTTGATTGCTGAAGCCCTAAAGCTGAGTGAATGGTATCCCCCCCCCCCCCCCCCCCCCCTTCTCTCTCCCCCACCTCCCTTTCTCTCCTATGTCTTGTAAGATCACTAACCTTTTCCTTTCCAATAAAACGTATTTGTTCATTTAAAAAAACAAAATTAGGATTTTTATGTTAAGTATCACCATAAGATCAGCCTCAACATCTTAAGTTTTGTTCCACTTAAAGGATGCAGCCACCTGTAGGCAAGAAGTAAAACACAAAATGTAGAACTTGATCCCTTTTGAGAAGACTACAGAAAAACGTCATGTTATTTGTCTACGGAACTGAGATGGGACATTGCAGAAAAAAGTAAAGGAGAAGTATTATCGTCTGGAGTGTAATGTTTTTGAATTCTATTGAAATAACATGCCATGGATATGATGTACCATCCTTCAGGACACTCCTGTACTTGTCAAAAGTTTGCAGCTTTTCCCCCAATTATTGCAAAGGACCAATAAACACTTTTGGGATGAATTGTTTTATCCATGTTTTTGTATACACGGTACACGCATGAACACATACACATGAACACATACACATGAACACATACACATGAACACATACTGTACACACGTGAACATTGCCGTTGTCAATGTTCAAGGATCTTGTTGGGGAATTGACATTTGTAACAGCAGTGAATTAACATCGAGCACAAAGCTGTGAATCAGACACTGCAGAGACAGCTCCGTGTGCAGTGACTCCCACAGAGCCGCCGCTGACTCTCAGCCTCTCGGTGTGAGCGGCTGAAACCTCAGCAAACGTGGCAATGGCCGGTAATGCCACCGAGCAAAGTGCCGGTCATGTTCCTCAGCATCAGCTGCAGCACTTGTGTGGGTGAAAGAGACCGCAGTGTAGCTCAGGGCACTAGTCAGGGGCAGTGGGGTACCCCCCCCCACACTGCACACACCCCCTGCACCCCCCAACTGCACCCCCACACTGTACACACCCCCTGCACCCCCCCTCACTGCACACCCCCACTGCACCCCCCCCCACACTGCACACACCCCCTGCACCCCCCCACTGCACCCCCACACTGCACACACCCCCTGCACCCCCCCACTGCATCCCCCTCACTGCACCCCCCCACACTGCACACACCCCCTGCACCCCCCCTCACTGCACCCCCCCCCACTGCACCCCCCGCCACTGCACCCCACTGCACCCCCCCCCCCCCCCCACTGCACCCCCGCCCCCCCCCACACCCACTGCACAGGGAGAAAACCCGCTGCTGGTTTTGGGTGATTTTTAACAGTTTCTCTGCTAAAAGCTTGAGGTTAACCCGGAAATGAGCTTCAGAGAATGGATGGAAACAGAGAGTGACAGAAAGGAGGTCAGTGAGTGGGAGAGTGAATGAGAGAGACAGTGACAGAGAGAGAGAGAGAGAACGTTGTGAAAAGAGAAGTGAGTGTAAATGGTAAGACTGGATGTTGGAGACAAGATGGCGATATAATGATATAATGCGGAGGGGGGGGAGGGGAGGGAGGTGAGGGGGGGGGAGGGAGGTGAGGGGGGGTGAGGGGAGGGGAGGGGGGGTGAGGTGAGGGGGGGTGAGGTGAGGGGGGGGGTGAGGGGAGGGGGGGTGAGGTGAGGGGGGGGGTGAGGGGAGGGAGGGGTGAGGGGAGGGGGGGTGAGGGGAGGGGAGGGTGAGGTGAGGGGGGGGGTGAGGGGAGGGGGGGGTGAGGGGAGGGGGGGTGAGGGGAGGGGGGGGGTGAGGTGAGGGGGGGGGGTGAGGGGAGGGGGGGTGAGGTGAGGGGGGGGGGGGAGGGGGGGTGAGGTGAGGGGGGGGGGGTGAGGGGAGGGGGGGGTGAGGGGGGGTGAGGAGTGACTTCAGGAGATGGAGGAGAAAGTCAGTCACCCGCTGTGATGCTCTAACAGGAAACCCGGCTCTGGCTGCTCAACTGGAAACGTTGTCTTTGTTGGCATCGAGGAAGCTCTTAGCTGCTGATTTTGCGGTAGATTCTCTTTATTTGAGCAAATATCAGACAAAAAAACCTCTTCAGAAAAGCCCGAGTCCCCCAGACAGCAGATGGCAGCAGATTTACATCAGGGAACCATCCCCCGCCTTCCCGCCGAGTGTTTATTGAGGATTAGATTTACTCGAATTGAATGGATGAAATTGCAGGATCCGGAGAAAGCAAAACCAGTCTTCAAGAGAAAATCAAATTAACAGTTAGTTTGTGTATATTCATATCGAGGTTTGAGTAAATGGGATTGAGCCAAACTTCCTAATCATCAACAGATGCAGAATTGGTTCAATTAGCATCTGCCTCAATGTGAGGGCTCGGGGGGGGGGGGGGGGAGAGGGGCTGTTTGATCATCACTTTTTCACGCGTGAATGAAATCTATCACATTTTACTTGTCTTTTCTCATTGCCCCTTCCCCCCTCCCCCACTCTCCTCGCCTCCCCCTCTCCCAACCAATAGGTTTCACACAAACGCCATGTGGACTCCCTTATAATCCACTATATAAACAGAATTAATGTGTGTGAGTATCTATGTGTGTGTGTGTGTGTGTATCTCTGAGTGTATGTGTGTGTGTGTGTATCTCTGAGTGTATGTGTGTGTATGGATTGGTTGGGTGTAATGGTTGTAAGAAGTGTGACAGTGCTGATTAATTATAAGTTTCTTCGCTCTGCAGTAAACGCTCCACAAACAATACATAAAAGAGCAACTGAGAGCCATCCCCACAGAGACATTGACCTCGTGCCGTGACATGAGCCAAAGCCATTGCTATGGAAACTGTGTGACATTAAATCCTAAATGTGTTGCCACAGCCGATAAGCAGCGAAAAGCCGTCAGGTTCTTGTTGTGGCGCAGAGCAAAGCCTCCAAGTGGGGAATGAAGGGGTTAATGGTTAAAGCAGAACATGTTGGACCCGGAGCAGGCGATGCTGTTCCTAATTCAGCAAAATTATACTGAACATTGGTTTGTTTGTTTGTTAGTTATCTGCCTCCGCTCCCGCGCCCCCAAATTGTCTTTGTTTCTAAATCTTTAGAGTTTGACATAACAACACAAGCAGAAAGTATACGCCATTTTAGGAGGAAACATTACATGTTTTACAACAGCTAATAGCAGGGAGTGAGTGTGAAATATCTGCATTAACAGCTTTTTAAATTAATTTTTTTTGTGCTCATCTGTGTCTGTGTGTGTGTTTATCTGTGTGTGTGTATCTGTGTGTATATCTCTGTGTGTATCTGTGCGTGTGTATATCTGTGTGTGTGTGTGTATCTGTATGTGTATCAGTGCGTGTGTGTATCTGTGTATGTGTATATCTGTGTGTGTGTGTATCTGTATGTGTATCAGTGCGTGTGTGTATCTGTGTATGTGTATATCTGTGTGTGTGTGTATCTGTGTATGTGTATATCTGTGTGTGTATCTGTATGTGTATATGTGCGTGTGTGTATCTGTATGTGTATCTCTGTGTGCGTGTCTATGTATCTGTGTGTATTGTGTCTGTGTGTGTATATGGATTGGTTGTGACAGTCTGCAGATTAAACAGATGATTTCCATCTGTTGGGACTTATTCTTGGGGGTGAGAATGGAAGGGAAAGATAATTAATCAATAGTCCCAGAGAACTGCAAGTGTTAAATGGGGGTAGAATAGAATTGAACAGCGTTAAATCTCCTCAGGAATTCAAGTTTCTACTTGATATCCATTGACTTGAGTAAAAAGGGGAGAAGAGCGAGAAATGGTGGGTTTTTTGGTGTTGCAATTTGTTAATGAAATCTCCTTCACAAGCTTTTCAGATGAATACACTTTTTTACGCTCTTTTCTCGTGAGAACCTTCACTGCTCCGGTTGCAAGAGCCGTTTCAGTGCAATGTAAAGAAGGGAAATGTAATGGGGAAGGTTGTAACTTTAACCATTGATTAACTACATGACTTTAAGTTTTAACCCATGTGACCTTCGCTCGTTGTCCTCCCAGCTAGAGAGAGCATTAAAGGGTTTTCCCATCCAGTGAAACAACTGCGATGATTATTCACAGCTGGTCAGCTCCTCTGCAAACTTGTGTAAACTACATTTATTTGGCTTTAATTTTAAGGACGGTAAAGGTGTTTGGCGGGTTTGTTGGGTGGACATGCTTTAGTGAGTCGTCTTTCTGCATCTCGTTTCGTCCACTTTATCTTCTGCCATTTCAATGGTTAAAGCCACATTTGCTGTGTTCACTGGGGAACAGATGTGGCAAAATGGCTTCTGTCAGGACTCTGGCTAATGCGGATTATCTTCATGGGTGGTTTCTCTGTCTGTAGCAGCTGCACTACAGAGGGTGGGGGGCTTTCTGTTTTGTATATAAAAATTGGGGACGGACTTCTGAGCAATGCCACCAGCTGCAGATGTGGAGAATTTATTGGAAAGTTACCTACAGAACAGGAGCTGTCAGTGGGAGGGAGAGAGCAATGTGGTGTCAAGATTTGTGAAGAGAGCTTTACTCTGGTAAATTCTTAGGCATAAACATGGGCTGGAGCAAGTCATTGAGGAAACTAGATACTGCACAACATGATGTGACTTTTCCACAATGTCCTGTTTCCCCAGTGGAGGTGATCTGCTCTCAGCCACCTTGTTTGAAGGGATGTTTATGCAAATGTTCAAATGAGGCTCTTTCTCTGGTGCAAAAACCCAGCAGCCAGACATGAATATTTATTGTCTGATTGTTTCCTGATTGTATATATTGGAAAGATCGTAACCTGAGCCCAGAGAGAAAAACAAATCTCCCATCTGAAACATGCAACCTTCCCTGACCAGACATTAAAGATCATTGAGAACAAATAAAGCAGTTATTATTATTTTATTAAAAAGAAGGCAAAGACCCTATTCAGCCAAAGTTGATAGGAACTAGAGTTCTTCTCTGTTGTTTAATGTAAAGAAATCTACGTTGAAAAACCCACGAAGAAACATGTCTTTTTCTGCACTGTTCTCCACAGCCATTTAGAAACTGTTAATATTGACTGTGTTTACAAGGGCTAAAATGGCTGCAGCTATTTAGGAAAGCACAGATAATCTGCAGAGGTTAGTGAAATGTGTATATTTTAAGACCTCTTGCAGAGCTGGTTACGGTTTAGAATAATGGAGTGATATGGGCCAGTAATTGCAAGAGCAGTTTGTCAGGAATGAATTTCTTTTCTCACCGATATGTTTCAAATCTATTGTCTCCCATGTGAGTGTTGGTTCAAGAGAGAGAGAGAGAGAGCGCAGTGACGAGAGTGGATGAATTCTATTGCAATTAACAATGATTAGAATGAACGTAGAGTAGTGGAAATGTTAAGCCCCAGTTCTGATGGATGGGCTTTTATGTGATTGTGACGCTTGCTTTGAGATGCTCCATCAAATGCAAGGATTATTATTATTATTGTAGAGGAAAGATATTTGCTATATCCTTTTGAGAGTTGAAGCGTGCTCAAATAGAAAGGTTTGCTAATTCCCCATTAAAGCACATCAGTCAATTATTCCAGTCATTAAACCCAGCAGGAGCTGC